AGTCCTGTTTATACCCTTTTGGTCACAATAATATTGAAAATATTAAGTTTTTAAAGCACAAATTCGCTTATTTTTGAGTATGCATCTTCAAAGACCCCATCGAGTATGGCTGAAAATATATGTGGCTGAAAATATATCTTTGCTGATGAATGACTTGTTTGTGCAACTGTTCATGTTTGCAGGAAACTTAACTGTTCTTCCATTCTCTTCCTCGAGAAGTGTATCTTGATAGCATTCTCGTCTTCTGAATTGCCAAAATCGATACAAACCCCCAAGAATGTCGTACCTCCCATATGAGGAGCCTGGGATCACGGTCATTCTTTCCTTGACTTCATTCATCGTTTTGTTGAACGTCACTCGATATATCCTAGATCGGCTCTTGTATTGTGGTATCATAGGACAAATTCTCATAGGAGTAATCTGGGGTCTGCCGGTTGGAGGAATATCATGGTTAACAACCGGAAATCAAGAAACGATCCAAGCATTGGGCTACCTAGGCCTCATAGGTCTCGTTTTTGAAGGAGGACTCAGTACAGACCTCAAGCAACTTCAGAAAGCTGCTTATATTTCTATATCGGTAGCTACCGTTGGTCTGCTAATGCCCATTGCATTTTCTTTCCTTTTGGTTATCTTCCCATTCCCCAGCAGTTCTGGAACCATGTACCCCACCCCTCTCGCAGGATTTTCTGCGGGAGCCTCACTATGTTCGACGTCTTTAGGAACGACTTTTGCTATTCTTTCTTCTGCAAATATGCAGCATACGAGGGTGGGTGTGATACTTGTGGGTGCTGCGATGATGGATGACGTTGTGGGACTTGTTATGGTGAACATTGTTACGACTCTGGGGAGTGGGGGCGCTGGTGCATGGCCAATTGCAAGACCGATTGCTGCGAGTTTTGGTTTACTGTTAGTGTCACTTGCTATCGGTGCATTTGTCCTCAAGCCGGTCTGGATCTGCCTTGTCAAGCGCTCTCAGTCCGAGACAGCAGTCAATGTTATCACGGAGAGCAATTCTGGTATAATGAGAAATGCCCTCAAATCATTTCGGAAAACTCCCCACCTTAGTTTCCTTCTTCCAACGTTGGTACTGATCATTTTCGTCACTATTGCATCTTTCATTGATGCGTCTGTTCTTTTCGCTGCATTCATTGCCGGGGGTCTAGTCAATTACCTGTGGGATGTCGGAGAGCATAACATCGAAGAAGAATCAAGGTCAAACAAAGCTCAGAATATGTACGAGGAGTACTATAAATCAGCTATGGACTTCATATTGGTTCCTTTTTTCTTTGTAAGCATCCTTGACTTTTATTTTGTTTCAAGCATTCTGGCCAATACCGGATTCTAAGATTTTAACTAACGTAATTTCCCTAGGCCTCCATTGGATTTTCCATTCCAATCACAGACATGTTCAAGGGTTCCGTCGCCTGGAAAGGTATCGTGTACTCTATCATCATGATCATTGCAAAAGGACTAGTGAGCCTAGTCATGTACTTCGAGTATTTTATGAAATCTTGGCGTAAACCAAAAGCTATTCAACCAAGCGGTATACCATCTCAGCAACTGGAATCTCCAGCCACAGAAACTACCCGTCCTCCCCATATAGAAGCTTTACTGGTAGGATTTGCCATGGTTGCTAGAGGAGAAATAGGATTCTTGATCGCATCTCTCTCACAAAGTTCCGGCACTCTATTGTTGAAAAACCAGCAAAGGACTGCTGTCGCATCCGGAGAAGCGGTTTTTCTTGTTATTGTTTGGGCTGTTGTAATTTGTACTATTGTCGGCCCGGTTGCCGTTGGCATTCTTGTAAGGCGTTTGAAGGATCAAGCATTGGTTCTCCACTAGATCTACGGGTAGATCCGGATTGCATACCGTTACCGAAATTTTACCCCGAAGGTTTTTTAATTTATTCAAAATGAACAACGGGCGATGGGCCGGAAATTTTTTAACTCTAAATAGTACAACGTGCTTGCAGCTAACAATGTCTCTGGAGTCTGGTAGGGCTGTCGGGGAAATGGGAAATGTTGAATACGAGATTTCAGTCGGTATCCATCGTGCTGAAGGGGTGTGTGCAGCTGCAGCTGGGAATATACCGGAACCGACGTTATAGATACAGACATCTTGAAAACGACTCCCCCTTTTCATTACACCTCGTACAACGAGTACAACTGTACAATACCGGTAACACAATATCACTACCGGTACCCGTACTCCACAAAGCGACTTTAAGTGGGGATTATACGAAGTACAGAGATCGACAGTTATACGATCGGCTAAAGAATATGCGGGTCAAACATCTCAACAAGCTTGGTAGCCTTGCATACCTAGACCACATCCATCTTAGTTGTTCTTTGCGAGTCAAACACCGAAACAATAATAGAAATACTCGTATTTCTAAAGTTTCTATTTTCTTGAATAGGGCTCTTACTAAATAATCAAAATGTCACGAGTGCTATATTTTAATAAATTTTTGAAATTTGATTAATATGAAGTTAGACAAATTCTATATAAGTCAACTACCCTACTTTCGGGCCACCCCCCCTTTCTGGCCACCCTTTCACATCAAAAACAGTGATTTTTGATTTTTATAACTTTTTATTCATTCGATATAATTGAATGAAATTTTAATTATAGATTCTTTATATAGTTATTAGATCAGGTACAGATTTTCAGAATTTTAGTGATTTTATATAAAAAGTTATAAAGATTTAAAATTCGAATTTTATTTTGTATATGTGACCAAAAGGGTATAAACAGGACTCCGATTGTGTACTTAGAATCTACAAGTGAAGAGCTATGTAGGGTGCTAAAAGGAGGACTATATATACAGGTATTGGGAGCCATAAGGGCTAGGCCAAAAAGGGTGAAAGGGTCCTAGGCGTAAGATGCCTAGGTCTAGAGCTATAGAGCTAGGGCTCTAAGCTGTGAAAGGAAGGTCAAAAAGAGCCGTCATATCATACTATG